ATTCATGGAAACAATTAGGCCAAGTGACTGGTATACCATGCGATCCTCAGCCTATATGACTATGAGACCAGAACTAAATAGTGTCTGGCTACAACTGTCAACCACTTGGGGTGGGGGGATCTATGTAGGAGATCCTGGATAGAATGGGAGAATAACGTGGAACAAAACTCAAAATCATTAGGAAAAAGAAAAAGGGGGACCAGGTTTGCTGGTCTGATAGAGCCTGATGCAACCCCTAAGACTATGGCCCTAGCTGCCCTGCAGATCTGGAATTAAACCCACTCCTGTGACTTCCAGCCAAACAAAAGACAATCATATGAGCTGAACATTGACATTAGGTAGATACACACCTTGGATAGATCAGTCATGGGAGAACAGAAGGGCTGTGTATGCACAGGGAGACAGCTCGGGGGGGGCAGGAGTGCATGGGAGGGAAGGACACAGGGAAGAAGTAACCATGGGGAGGAAGTGGGAGGGGAGCTATTGCATTGTAGAAAATTGCAGTCAATATCATGAGACAAAGTGTATGTGAACTGCTGCATGGAAAATGAATTTGCTCTGTAAACTTTCACCCAAATCACAATTAAAGAAAAAAAAAGAGAGAGAGTAAGAGATGCCTCCAGCTCCAGGGGCAGGGAGCAAGAAGCAAAGCTGAAGCCCAAGGTCGAGGGGCCTTCACCCAGCCCCTTGAGCTGGCATTTGGCCTCAGACTTCTAGCCTCCCAAACTATAAAAGAATAATCCCTGGTTGTGAAAGACACCCACTTGTGGTATTTTGGTTAGAGCAGCAGTAGAGGGTCAAGACAGCCACAGTTCCCAGTATTATGTAATTATCCTCCATTCTGTGATCTAATTAATGTAAGGGGAATTTCGTTGGGGGTGTGGCCTGCATCCAATATGTATGGAGATTCTGGCAAAGCTAATTCACTTTCAATCTTACATCTAACTCATCATCCTTTGAGCTCTGGTTCTTGGGATGTAAGCCAGCAGCCTGACCTGCCAATTTTGGGATGTCAGTCTCTGCAACCACATGAGTCAGAAGAAGCCTCCAGCCTGATGCCTGACCCATGGATTTAGGACTTGCTGACCTCTACAACTGCATGAGGCATTTCTTTGAAATAAATCCCTCTCTCTCTCTCTACTTATTTATTTATATATGCTGCGAGTCTGACTCATAGAGACTTCCTTTGGTTTTCTGAGGTGGTAAATCTTTACAGAAGTAGATTGCCCAGTCTTCCTTCTGCAAAGTGGCTGGTGGGTTTGAACCGCCAGCCTTCTAGTTAGCAGTCAAACGCCTTAGGCGTTGCGCCACCGGAGTTCCTTATATACACCTCATTGGTTTTACTCCTCTATCTAGAGAGCCCAGCCTAAGACACCAAGCATGATGTCCTCCAGGAACATCATGACCCTCCTGATGATGTTAAGCAAGATGAAATCTCACCATCCTCACTTAATGCTCACTTAAGGAGAATTAGGCTGTAATTTCTCCAGAACCGATTTGTTCATTCTTCTGGCAGTCCCTGGTATATTCAGTATTTGTCAACACCACAATTTGCATCAGTTCTTCCTCAGGCTTTATCAAATATTAATTGAGCTCTTATGATATCTCAGGTACTGCCAAAGTCCTTGAGGTACAGCAATGAACAGAATAGATAAAAAGCCCTTGATAAACATTCAGTGAATGAATGAATGGGGATATGGGACAGCAGGAACAGCTCGTGTCCAAGTTTGAGATGGCAGCACGTATGCAGGAGTGGGCCTGGGGTTTTCTAGGATCATCTGGGACTCTGGTGTAGCTGGGATGGCTTGAGTGAGGGGGGACAGCTGTAGTCAGAGAGGTCACAGGGTGTGGAGGCGTTGGTGGGGGTGGAGAAGCAGGTCCCTCCCAAGTTTCCCAAACATGTCCGCTTCTCACCCCTCCCCTACCACTGCCCTGGTCTGAGCCACTGCCTCCTCTCACATGGCTCGTTGCAACAACACCCTGCTGGTCCTCTGCTTCCACCTTTGGTCACTTCTTACAGAAGCCAGACTGATTTTTGAAAAATATGTAAGTCACGTCAATATATCATGTTCCTGCTTAAAATGACTGCTTTATGACATGAAATTGTACACCTGAAAAATGTTCATTTGGCAGATTTTGTGTTATATACATACATATTTACAATGACTAATTAACAAAATAAAAATGTGACTGCTTCAGTGACTTCCCATTGCACGTATGATGAAACTCCAGCCCCCCCAAGATCCATGGGGCCTCCCGACCTGGCCTCCTTGCTCCAGCCTCCCTGTCTTCCACTCTCCTCCTCTCTTCAGCCTCTAGCCTCATGAGTTTCTGCTAAAAAAAAAAAGCCCCTTCCCTTCTCAGGCCTACTCACCTCTGTCCCCTCTCCAAGGAACTCTGCTCCTTCCCAGACTCAGCTTGGCTGGGCCTGCTTGAGGACGCCTTCCCTGTCTCCTCTTCTGGGGTCCCTCCCACCATCACTCTCTATTGCAGCTGTCTCCTTCTAGCACTTTCCACTTAGAAATAACTGTCAGCTCTCCTTTGCTTGCCTTGTCTTGGCTGCTCCCCAGGGCCATGTCTTTCTTACTCGCCTTCAGGTCCCCAGCTCCTAGAACAGTGTCTGGCATTTCATAAATTCATATCACATATTTGACTGGTGGATCAGGCCTAGTTCCATCCTTGGCTCGGGGTCTCACTGATCCACCCTTCTCCTTTAGAGCTTCTCTGCCCAGAGGCCAATGTCCCCAGGGTCAGAGGAAGACAGTGTCCATGTCTGTCACCATGGGGCAGGCAGTAAATGATACATACAAGAATGGCACCTCCAGCACATTTCAGGGATCTCCATGTATCCCACCTGTGCAGGTATGTCTGAAGGTGTGTCTGTGAGGCTTCTAGGGCTTGGGTTATAGCTCTGCTGTTTCTGTGTCATTTTAGAGACCTCCTGAGTATCACCACAGGGTGTCCCCCATGTCCACAGGTATTTCTGTGAGTTGTATCTGTCAGTGTGAGCCTCTGGGCAGGTAGGTCTTCCTTATTGAGCTCCCTCTGCTACCACCAATGCCAAGCATTGCTCCAAGTGTTTTACATGTATTTTTTCAGGTGACCGTCCACAACAACACTATAAAGCTAGCACTGCAAATGTCATCAGATAAGGAAATGGGGCCCGGAGAGGTTAAGTAGTAAGGTTACACAATCTGGAAGAGACAGAGGCCAGCTTGAAACCAGCATGAAGTGCCCCTAACCACTGTGGCATTCAGCTGGGGCCAGCTCTACACATAGGGTGTGTGTGTGTGTATTTGAGGTTGTGTACCATGTGTAAATAACAGTCATATTAACTGGTATTCCTTGTAGGCATATGGATATTATCCTATCACTGACAGGGTTGTGCTTCAGGATAGATCTTGAAATGTTCTTTTTGACAATGAATGTGACACCATTCCTCTTCAATTTGTCATTCCCAGCATAGTAGACCATATGATTGTCTGATTCAAAATGGACAATACCAGTCCATTTCAACTCACTAATGCCTAGGACATCGATCTTTATGTGTTCCATTTCAGTTTTGACAACTCTCAAGTTTCTCGGATTCAGACTGTATATTCCATGTTCCAGTTATTAATGGATGTTTGCAGCTGTTTCTTCTCATTTTGAGTCACGCCACATCAGCAAACAAAGGTCTCGAAAGCTTCACTCCATCTATGTCAAAAGGTCGACTCTACTCTGAGGAGGCAGCTCTTGCCCAGTCATATTTTGAGTGCCTTCCAACCTGAGAGGTTCATCTTATGGCACTGTATCAGATAGTGTTAAACTGCTATTCCTAAGGTTTTCACTGGCCAGTTTTTTCGGAAGTACATTGTCCGGTCCTTCTTCCTAATCTGTCTGAGTTTGGAAGCTCCACTTGAAGCATTTATGGATGAAGATCAAAGACTACAGTCTTCAGTATGGATTACACCTCAACATAAAGAAAACAGAAATCCTCACAACTGGACCAATAAGCAACATCATGATAAACAGGGAAAAGGTTGAGGTTATCAGGGATTTCATTTTACTCGAATCTACAATCAACGTTCATGGAAGCAATAGTCAAGAAATCAAACGATTATTGCATTGGGCAAATCTGCTGCAAAAGACCTTTTTAACATGTTAGAAATCAAAGATGTCACTTTGAGCACCAAGGTGCACCTCCCCCAAGCCATGATACTTTTAATAGCCTCATACACATGTGAACGCTGGACAATGAATAAGGAAGACTGAAAAATAACTAATTTATGCCTTTGAATTATGGTGTTGGCAAAGAATATTAGATATACCATGGATTGCTAGAAGAATGAAAAAAAATCTGTTTCAGAAGAAGTACAGCCAGAACGGTCTTTAGAAGGGAGGATGGTTAGACTCTGTCTCAAGTACTTTGGGCGTTTTACCAGGAGGGTCCAATCCCTGGAGAAGGACATCATGCTTGGTAAAGCAGAGGAGTTGCTAAAAAGAACATCATCAATGAGATGGACTGACACAGTGGCTGCAACGATGGGCTCAAACATGGCAACATTGCGGATGGCGCAGGGCTGGGCAATGTTTCATTCTATTGTTGCTGTAAGTCAGACCCAATTCCATAGAATCTAACCGCAGAAATAACCCGTGTGTTTGTGTGTCAAGGGTTGTTGTCTGTCTCTGATGCCCTACTTGTTGTCTGTCTCTGATGCCCTACTTGTGTGTGTGAGGTTGTCCTGTCTGTGTCCCCGGATTCTGGCCTGTGTGTGCACTCGCCTGGTACCAGCCCTTACCCCAAAACCCCTCCGCAGGAGGCCTGGCTCGGACTACAAGTCCCAGCATCCCGAGCGGCGCGGCCTGGGGACGTGGATCCGCAGTCGGTCGGGCGGGGCTTGGCGGCATTCTGACACCGACTGCGGCAGCTTCTAAACGTTCTGGCCGTGGTTCCTCCAGGTGCACCGGCCTCGCCGCCCCGCCCCCCGGCCACGGATCGCGCCTTCGCGGCGGGGCAGCGCAGCGCCGGGGCCAGCGATGAGCGCGAGGAGCCGGCATGAGCGCAGGTGAGTGAGGAGCCATGGCTGGCCAGCAAGGAGCCAGCAGACCCGGCCTGCTGTCGTCTCACCTTCCGTAGAGTGACACCTCTACCGTGGGGTGGCGGGCGAGCACAGCGGCCCCTGGGCAGGCAGGCGGGTCTCTGAGCCCGTCCCCTTCCCGGTCACGAGGAGTTGGCACTAGAGACCTTCCCAGAAAGGCCGGGAGCCTCAGGTTGGCGCCCGGCACCGTTCTTGCGGCGCCGGGCCGCCACCCCCCCCCCGGCCCCGCCTTCCCACAGCCCGGCTGCCTGGGAGAGGACGCTGCCGGCGCTGGTGCACGAGGGAGTTGGGAGCCCGACGGGATAAATGACCACACTTCCACCAGATTGTCTCTCTGAAGGACGGGGTCCAAGTAGCGACTAGCATGGGCTGTTGTAGGGAAAAGGCAGGGAGGCCGCTGCATCTGGTGCATTTGGGTCCCCTCCAAGCAGTTGCCTCTCAAGACTAAATGAATGAATGGAATCACAGGAAGCCAGGTCTCCTTAGTCCCTGGATCAGAGCGTGCTGGGGCTCCAGCACCATCCCACCCTTCGATCCCCTGTGGGGAGCCTCTTGACACTCATGTCCAAGCACCACACCTTCCATGCATCCATTTGTGGCCAGCTGTCTGGAACCACTCTTTCCAGAATCTAATTTAAATGTGAACGTGGGCCCTGGGTGAATGAGGTCTCTCAGTGGCACAAGCTGTTCGTGATCAGCTGCTGACCTAAAGGTTGGTGGTGTGAACCCACCTAGCCACTGTATGGAAAAAAGGCCTGGTGAACTACTTCCATAAAGATTACAGCCGAGAAAACCCTCTGGAGCAGTTCTACTCTGTCATGCATGGCTGTGCCATAAGTTGGAATCTATATAACAAGGGTGTTTTTGTTGTGAAAGGGGCCAGTGATCTCTCCAGTCCAGAAGGGGCTTATCTCAGTCACTCAGACCTGAGATCTCAGCTGTGGGCCTCCCCAAGGCTTGGCCTCTCTGCAGCTAAAGACCCCTCAGTCCCGGTCTCTCCCTTCATATCTTTCCCCTCACTCCCCACTCTTGCAATCTAAAGTGCACTCAGGAAGGACTGAGGAAAGGTGTCTGCCTGGTCTCCAGATCCAAAGATTGGGGTGCTACTGGGAGATTTTTGTGCCCTGCCCCACGTTAGTGAAGGGGAACAGCTCCTGGTCCCAGGGCAACCATGGGTGAGGGAGGAGGCAGCATTGCCACCCTGGGCTGCTGCCAGGCCACCAGCAGGAAGCCAGGGCTTCCACAGGAAATAAGAGGTTCCCAAATGGCTTTGACTCCAGTCCCTGTGCTCTGCAGTGCTGGTGGCAATGTCCCAGGCCCATGGAGTCAGGCCAGGTTCACATCCAGTCTTGGCCACTCATAGCTGTGTGATTTTGGGAATGTTAACTTCTCTGTGCTTCATCTCTAAATGGAAATCATAATCTATACTTTGCATGGGGTGGTTGTGAGGATGAGCCAAGAGGAATATGTTCATTCAAACCCACACAGTTCTGGCTTCTTTCAAGTTCTGTGACCCTGGGCAAATGGGGATAATAACAGTCTCTTCCTCAGAGGGTGTAGGTTCATTGAGTCAGTGAGTGAAGTACTTCCAGCACTGTGTCCATCGGACATGCTCACATGTCAGTTGCTATTATCCAGAAGAGTAACAAGAATAACCATGCAAGCATCCTACACAGCCTGTGGCGCCTGCCTGGGACTGCCCTGAGCTGGTGGCACTGAAGGGGACTAGGTACCACCCTGGGGAGCATAAGATGTGAATAGAGAGAAATAAGCACATCCATGTTTGTTTTGACAGGTGTCAGGCAGGAGGGGGTCCCCTTTGCTTGGTCCTTGCTGGGAGTATAGATTGTTCCACAGCTGTGACTTCCTTCCTCAAGCCCCTCTCTCTTCCTTTTTCCCAAGATTGTCTTAGGAATTGGCCCTCATGAAATGAGGGTGTGGGATAGACACAAGGAAGAACACTTTAGATGCTGGGGAAGCAGGGGAATGAGAAGGCATGAGATGGTGTCTGCAGAGCTCATTAAGAAGAGGCTTGCCCCACTGTACCTCGCAGCAGACTGACCCGAGAGCAGGGGGATAGACACAGTGACTCCTAGCAGTGAGATGTGTGGGTATCCATTCATTCATTCAATAACTGGTTCCTGAGCCCTGGCCATGTGCCAGGCACTGCAAGCAGGGTGGACAAGGACCCCGTGGGAGAGGGTATCAAGTAGATGGGGAGAGAAGGGATTTGGAGTAAGACCCTTTTCCAGCTTTGAGACAAGTCTGTGGGCAAAATGCCTTTCTAAAGTTCAGTTTCTTCATTTGTAAAATGGGGTACGAGAGACCACCTCCCTCCCCACAATGATGAAATCAGATCAGTGTGAGCAAAGTGTTCACTATATAGGTTCCTTCCCTGTCCCCAGCCCAAGCTGTTGGCCCGCAGGGCTGCAGGCATGGAATAGTTGTGGAATGGGTATATGGGGCTAGTGATGCAGATGTGGGTGGTGTGAGAGCCTGAGAAATGGGTCACAGCAGAAACCACACTTCCTTAGCAAGGGAGCCAGCAACCACCTACTGTATAGGCTGGTGCTTCAGTAACTTCAAATAGCCCCGGTGGCTGCTGCTCAGGCTTCCCCTGTGTGCCAGCTCCTTCAGAATGATCATTTTATGGCTGGGATGCAGAAGCCCAGAGAGGCTAAGGGGCTTGCCTCATGAAGCACAGCTTGCTTGTAAAAACACTCTGATTATGCAGTGGTTAAGAGCATGGACTCGGGAGTCAGGCTGTCTAGATCCAGATCTCCCCACTACTGACTGTATGACCTTTGGCATTTTACTTAACCTCTCTGGGCCTCAGTTTCCTAATCTGTAAAACAGGGAGTAAAAATGGTACCTGCTTCATAGGGTTGTGGTGAGGAACGCATGGATTAACATGTGTAAAGCCCTTGGAACAGTGAGTGCCTGACTGATAGCCAGCCCCCTGTAGCCTGAGGTACGCATTCCATTCGCACTGCAGAAACATCCCAAGAACTGCCTGACGGGGAGAGACTGCCCACTGTGCCCCACTTGAAGGAGCAGGTCTCCAAGGGTGGGTGAAAGGTTCTGGCAAAAATGACACTTGGGACTCTGGTGGCAAATGGGACTGCTGGCCTTTTAAAGAATGATGAGAAACGGCCTATGGTTGGTTGGTGGCAGAGGACATGAGACCCTAATGTGGCAGGCCATGGTGGTGATCCCGAATGCCTGCTCCCCCATTTGGCCATACCAGAGAGCAGAGGGGGCCTCAGCTGCTGCTTGTCTGTGGACTAGCATCGGGAAGGGAAGGAAGTGATGTTCTTGCCCTGAAAGGCAAAGGCCTCACTTGGAGACTGGGCTGGGACCAGAGAGGAAGAGAGAAACCAGCTGACAGCTGAATGGCCCCACTGCCCGGAGAGTCCCAGGCTGGGGTCTCTATGAGCCCAAGGAAGAAAAAGACCCTGGCCTTCTGGCCCTCAGCCATGAGACTCTGCCTCTCCTGTCAGCTGGTAGCTGCAGGCTTCTGCGTATCTCTGTGTGTGTGACTGTGTGTGTGAATATATACATGTGTGGAAGTTTATGTGTGAGTATGAATGTAAGTGTATGAATGTGTGTGAGTGTATGAGCATGTGTAAATGTGTGTGAGTGTGTGAGTGTGTGTGTGTGTGTTAGTGAATGGATGTGTGTGTGAGAGCATGTGAATATGAGAATGATGAATGAGTGTATGTGTGTGAGTATATGCATGTGTGTGTGAGCATAAATGAATGTGTATGTATGTGTGAGAGTGGTTATGTGTGTGTGTGTGTGTATGTGGAAGTGTATGGATGTGTGAGAGTGAGTATGTGAGTGTGAATTCTGAGTATGTGTGTGTGAGTGTATAAGTGTGGGGTGTGAGTATGAGGGGGTGTGTGAGTGTGTATCTGTGGGTGTGTCTTGTGGGTGTGGGGTGTGTGAATGTGTATCTGTGGGTATGGGGGTGTGAGAGTGTGTGGGTGTGTTTGTGTGGGTGTGTGTTGAGATTCCCCAGAGACCAGGGTCTACCTGGAGGAGTAGCTCCACCATTTGTTCTCTAAGTCAGCGAGGGGGACGAGCTTGGCCGTAGGTGGGGCTTTGCTTGATTTGGTTTTTGAGTCATCAGATTGGGAGAGGCCACATTTCTTTGAAAGTGGTCACGTTCCCAGAGGCAGAGTCATTAAAAGCACAGGATCTGAGTCCGACTTTCTGGCTCCACCATTTATTATTGGCTGTATGCCTTTGGGTGGGTCTTTGAGCCTCAGTTCTCACGTGTGTAAAATGGGAATATCAGAAATCCACATCATAGCATGGCTGGGAGGGTTAAACCAGCTCCTGTCACCTAAAAAGTTCGTAATGGATGTCACTCTTCTTGTTATCATTATTACCATAGCAACTGTTGTCATCATGTGTGAGGAGATATGAGAAAGGAGGTAGGATAGGAGAAACAGTGGCTCTACCTGATCTGATGGGGACCCTAAGCCTCAAGGTATTCCCAGGTGGGGTAGCAGAGTGATTAAAAACATAAGCCTGCAGTCAGCCTGCCTGGGGTTACATCCGGGTGCTATGATGTCCTTGCTGTGTGATCTTGGGAAAGTTACTTAACCTCTCTGAGCTTCTTTTTCTTCTATGAGAAGGGGATAATAATCACACCTACCTTGCAGGGTTATTGTGTTCTTCACGTAAAGGGCCAGCAGCAGAGTCCAGTGTACGGTGAGCAGATACTAGCTATTACAATTATTGTTGGGCTTCAGGAAGCCACAGACTGCCATATGTTTAGAGAGAGGGCTATAAGGCTGGGACAGTTGTCACTGTGGCAACTGCCTGGGACACATTGGACTTGTGGGTGAAAACTTTTGGATCAAGCCCCTGAAGGACTCAGGATGTGGGGGGAGGGGTAGATGGAACCCAGGAAAGCAATCCTCACTGCCTTGCAGCCTGCGCCCTGCCACCCGCCCCGTCACCCAGCTTCCTGGCCCCTTAATGAGCTTTCCTAGGAGTTCTTTGAAACATGCAAATGCCCGGGCTTTCCGCCAGCATTGGTCCAACAGATTTGGGGAGGGGCCTGGGCAGCTGCATTTCTAACAGGCACTCCAGGTGGTTTGGCTACAGGTGGTCCATGGACCACACTCAGAGAAACCTTGACCAGAGGCTGTCCAAAGATAGGAGCAGTGAGCCCCCATCCCACTCCAGGGGCCTGAGAATACCCACTGTCTCCGTACTCTACTAGGACCATAGGTGGTAGGAAGGATAGGAGAAAAAAGAATTTCCCCAATAGAACTGTCAGGAGCTGTTCCCTGAGCCTCAGTTTATCTGTGTGTAAAAGGGAGGTGCTAACAGCCCCTGCCTCAAAGAGGGTTAAATAAGGAACCTTGTTAACTGTTCTGCTGGGCCCTGGCTTGTAGCTGCTTCTCTCCTCAGGTCTTGGGGGCACGGGGGCAGGGGGCGTTTCTCCCCTCCTCTCCTGCCCATGCTCTCTCTGCCCTACCCCCCAACCCCCATTCTACCTTCAGGGTGGGCAGCAGCTCCCCAGCTGCCCTCAAATGCAACCCTCTTATCAGTACAGACTCACTTCTCAGCATCTCCTCACTGCAACGTCTGTGTTGGGCGTGGGAATTGGATGAGGATTGTATGCCCTCCACCAGGTGGAGGCCAGATGAGCAACAGGTAAGCAGGACACAGAGCTCCAAGGAATCAAGAAGCTGGATGTGTGAGCAGCTGTGGGAGGTCAGGGTTCGTACCAATTCTGGGCCTACACCCTGTTAGAGATAACCAGACACAAGGAAATAAGACTCTGTGAGCAAGAACCAGCAGAAGCAGCCAGATAGCAGCCCCATGAAGACTTGAGCTATTGGTTTGATCAGAGCGGATTATGACATGTCTCTGCTTACGTGTAAACAAGGCGGAGTCTCCTCTCAAATCACCCTTGTCCTTTCTGTCCACAGACAGCAGCCCTCTCGTGGGCAGCCCGCCCGCACCCGCCGATTATGGGACCCTGACGATAGAGACCTCTATCGATCCCCTCAGCTCCTCAATTTCATCCGTGGTACGTGGGCTGGGTGGGGTGGGGAAGCACTCCAGGTGGATACAATACTCCAGCCCTCCCAGACACCCCAGCTTCCTCCTCCAGCCTTGCCCTCACCCCCCGACCCCCGGCCTTCTCTCGCCTGTGTCCCCAGAGGCTCAGCGGCTACTGTGGCAGTCCATGGAGGGTCATAGGCTATCACATCATGGTCTGGATGATGGCAGGGATCCCTTGGCTGCTGTTCCGGTGGAAGCCGGTGTGGGGGGTGCGGCTGCGGCTCCAGCCATGCAACCTGGCCCGCGCCGAAACACTCGTCATCGAAATAAAAGACAAAGAGGTGAGAGTCCATCCACGCAGGGGCAGCCGGGGCCAGAGAGGGGTAGCAGTGGGTCAGGGGACCAGGGACAGGTTGACAACATAGGTTGTCAGACTAGCTTGACCACTGACTTTTCATGGGACCTTAAGCAGGTCATTCTCCTCTCTGGACCTCAGCTTTCCCATCTGAGCAATGGGCAGAAGAGGCAATTGGTTGGTTCCTGAGGAGGTCATCTACACCCTTGATCTCTGCCTCCTTCAGCAGGGGCCCCCAGGCTGTGGGGCAGGGCCTGGTGAGGAGGGGCCTCTTCAGGACTGAGCCCACACTTCTTTGTTCCAGGATAGTTCGTGGCAGCGCTACACTGTCCAGGTGCAGACTGAGGCCATCAGCGAGAGCAGGTGAGGCAGTCCCATGGCCCTCTCCTCTCCCTCCAGAGGCTCTGACCGTGCCTCCTATCCCAGGGAGGGAAGGTGACTGTGTCCTGGGGAAGTTCCCAGAGCTTCAGAGTAACCCCCACCCACCTCCCTAGCCTGGAGCTGCCCCCACAGGCCCAGCTGGAGGATGGCCGGAGCCAGGCAGCTATAGGGGCAGTACTGGAGGGGACATGGAAGGACACCACCCAGCTCCACAGGAAGGAGGAAGCAGTAAGTGGACAGACAGCTGGGTCTGGACAAGTCCCTGTCCCTCTCAGGGTCTTGTCTTGGTCTCACATTCTGTACAGTGAGGGGAGTGGACTTGTTCTCCAAGTACTTTCTAGTCCTGTTGTCCCGAATATCTGGAACACAGTCTGACTGCTGTTTTACTCCCAGGTCTCTCCCTGTGACACTGTCACTGTCCCCTGCTTCTCTCATCCTCCCCCCATTCCCCCAGACACACACACAGATACACACTCCTCCTGGGACCCAGGTCCAGCTGCCAGTCTGCCCAGGTTTTCCTCTCTCCCATTCAGAAGCGTGTGCTGCGGTACTACCTCTTCCGGGGCCAGCGCTATGTCTGGATTGAGACCCAACAAGCCTTCTGCCAAGTCAGGTAGGCCTCAGGGGTCAGGGGGGCGTGATGGTTCAGGGCCAGGGGAGGCAGCATGAAGTGGCCTGGCTGGGGCACCAGGAGGCCTGACGCCCGCTCCCCTCTGCTCCCTTTGCACTGGAAACCTTAGGCGTCTCACTGAGCCATCTCCCAGCCTCAGTGTCCCTCTCTGTGATTAGAGGAAAAAAACAATCCCAGCCTCTAGGGTGGAATCTGTAATGATTAATGTAAAGCTTGGCCCAGCATCTGTCCCAGGATGGTCACACTGTAGTGAATGAGAGTGTGGACTCAGGAATCAGACAACCTGTTTGGGTTCCAGTCCCTTCTCTGCCACCTCCTAAGCACTTAATGACTGTTAGCTCACAGCATGTCTTAGTTCCCTCAGAAGCAGACTCTGAGATGTAGATTCAAGTCAGGGAGTTTGCTTGGCAAGCAATTCCAGGAAACAACTGGAGAAGTGAGGCAGAGGAGGAAGGCGATGAAGGGGTATTATCCTGCCAGTTACCACATGGAGTGCAGTCCCACGGGGGATCCATGGAGCCACTTACCACACCTCCGAATTACCTCACCCGGGCAGTGAGGAGGTGGGACATGAGTCCCTCAGCTCCCTCCTGCCGTCCTACTGTAATTGGTAGTGGGCTACGACCAGGGGCATTAACTTGTGAGCACTTGCAGCTTTCCTGGCTTACGCCATGAAGTGCAGACAGGTTTGCAGTAGACTGCTGTGTCATGTAGAGGTGAGTGCCAAGGGCATGTGGGTGCGGCACTGAAAGCCTCTGCTACACTGTAAGAACAATAGCAAAACTCACTGCTGGGTTTGCCTCTGGGTAGCTGCCAGCCACTGTCCAGAGCACTTTGCTTGGCTTTATCTCATTCAGTCCCCCCAAAACCCTATGAGGTATGTACTGTGACTGCTCCCATTTTACAGATGAAGAAACTGAGGCACAGAGAAGTTAAGTGACTTGTCTGTGGTGTCATCATGTAAATATGAAATAGGTGCTCTTGTCACTATCAGTGTTGTCATCATCATCCCATTTGTCTGCTTCCTTGTTTCTCCTTGGTGAGATGGTTTGAGGTGCGCTCAGAGGAATAAAAGAGAAAGCCCAGAGTTAATGAGCGAGCTGCCTTCTCCCAGATGCTTAATGTGGCAGAAGTGGGCCAGAGGGGCCTGGAGCCCTGCACCACTGCAGCCTGCGCGGGGTGGGGGTTGAGAGCCCAGGCCCCAGCACCCACACCAGTACCCCTCCCCACCCCACCAGCCTGCTCGATCGTGGCCACACCTGTGATGATGTCCACCACTCCCGCTCTGGCCTCAGCCTCCAAGACCAAACTGTGAGGTGGGTGCTGCCCTGGGCCAGTGGTGCTCACCCCAATTTGCCCTCCCTGGTGTGGCCTTCTTCTGATCACCAGGCGTTGGTTTCCCCAACTGTATAATGGGAAGCCCTTTCACCCCTGGTGGGCCAAGCTACCATGGCCCCATCCATCTGTAGCTCAACCACTTCCTTCTTACAGGAAGGCCATCTACGGCCCCAACATGATCAGCGTTCCAGTCAAGTCCTATCTCCAGCTACTGGTGGATGAGGTAGGGCTGTCTGGGTCTCCCCTGAGCTCTGGTCTGTGTATGCTGGATGACCTTGGCCAGGGGCTTGTCTTCTCTGGGCCACTTTACCATGGCATGCAAACCAGCTCTCCCCTTCTCAGTAGTGGGGAGTCATCCCAGACCCTGCCCTTACCAGCTTGACTGGCAAGAGGCCAACTCAAGAATAGGAGGTTCTGGCTTAGGCTTGGACTGGAGATTGGGACTCTGTGTGTGGGGCTCACAGGCCAAGAAGCAAACCCACACTGCCTGAGCACCTACTGTGTGTCAGGAGACATGCTTTAATGTTTCAGCCAGTGCATGAATTATCCACTTTTGTTCTCCTGATAGCCCATGAAAAAAGGACAAGGACTAGACTCAGTTCACATATGAGGAACCTGAATTCAGAGCAGGAAGTGACAGAGCAAGGGTTACGCAGGGCAAAGGAAGCCAGGGACCCAGACACATCTAGAATAAAACATTAATGTCATACCCCTTTGACCCAGGAGCACACACCCCTAAAAGGGAATGGTGTGGAGTCCAGCCTGAGTGTAAAACTCAGCCTGTTGCTGTGAGTTCTGCAGTTTTAGGCAAGTGGCTTAACACTTCTGTGCCTCAGTTTCCTCATATGTAGCATGGAGCTGATGGTAGCACCTGCTTCGTGGAACTGTCACGATTGGGGGACACTTAGATGCTTAGCAAAGTGCTAAGCATGGGCTGGCATGCAGTAGGGTGCTCAGTAAATGCCAGTATCCTCATTAGATTGCAAGAGAGAGGGCTCATGGGATGTCTGGTCGGGTGAGGTCAGTCTAGGAGGAGACTGTGGAATTGACCAGGAGAAAGGCCTGGCTTTAGTCCTTTGGTAGCTGCCAGGGCCTCTGCTCCCCTGGGCTTCTGGCTGGGCTGCCTCAGGGGGTACAGCCCTGCCACGCCTCCTGCTCTCCCCACAGGCACTGAATCCTTACTATGGGTTCCAGGCCTTCAGCATTGCGCTGTGGCTGGCCGACCGTTACTACTGGTACGCGCTGTGCATCTTCCTCATCTCTGCCATCTCCATCTGCCTGTCGCTGTACAAGACCAGAAAGGTGAGTGGGTGGGTATAAGGTAGGGGGAGGGTACAGGGGCAGGTGGGTCCCCAGTGGGCCTCCACCCTTCCATCCCCCCTTGTCCCACAGCAAAGCCAGACCCTGAGGGACATGGTCAAGCTGTCCATGCAGGTGTACGTGTGCCGGCCAGGGGGAGGTAAGGACCTGGGGACAAGGCTGAGGGTGGGTAGGCAACTGGGGTGGCCCAGCCTAAGCTGAGGCTCCGGCTTCCCCCCAGAGGTGGAATGTGTTGACTCCAGTGAGCTGGTACCAGGAGACTGCCTAGTGCTCCCCCAGGAGGGTGGGCTGATGCCCTGCGATGCCGCCCTGGTGGCTGGCGAATGCATGATCAACGAGAGCTCTCTCACCGGTGAGCCACCAGCCCCATCTGCAACCTCCCCGCCCCCTTTCCCTGCTTTCCCAGACCCCTCTGCCTTGCGTCCGAACTTTGAGTGTGAATTTTCTTTTCCTTTTTCTCTTGAGTAACAATCCTGGCTTTAGCACTTGCTAGATCTGTGCCCTTGGGCTATATTGCTTAACCTCCCCATGTCTCAGTTTCATCTTCTGTAAAATGGGCATGTCAGTCATAGGGTTGTGCAAAACACTTGGAAGAATGAGTGACGTAGAGTGAGCACCAGTGTATGGGAACTGTTTCTATAGGAATATCTGCATTCCAGTAAGGAGAACTCTAAACCACATAGGAACAGGGAACACAAAGAAGAGTCATTCTGGACAGCCCCCCTGCCCTCCTCTCAGGGTTAAAGGCTGTACGGTGTCCTTCCACGCCTTGTTCTGTGCATATGTATGTCATGTGTACATATCTGCAAATACATCTCACTTTTGATATGTAAACGGATCCATGTGGTGGGTATTGTTCCTGACTGTGCTCTTTCCCCTGAACAGTATATATCCCGGGCATTTTTCCACAAGTGCAGGTAGTTCTGCCTCAGTGTCCACACACTGCATGAGAACCCACAGCACGGGCATGTCGTGGTGGATGCTACTGGTCCGGAACCGGTCCGCTAGCAATGCATATTTAGATAGTGGCTTTGCAGCCACTGCAAACAGTGCTACAGGGAGTGTCCTTAGCCTCCTTTTCTTTCTCTGTGTGTGTGTGTTTCTTCAGGGTGTGGTAGATTTTGGTGGTGACAGGTTTCTGGCTAGAATTTTATTATAATAGTGACAAGTATGATTAGTGGGTGGCCCCTGAGCTTGGCCCTCCACAGTTTTTTCCATACCTACTTCACCTGTCCACCACTTGGAGGCAGAGGCAATGTCCCTGAGTCTCTTACAGTAATTTAAACACAGTGAGTGCTCAATAATTTCATCATCATAGGTGCTCAGTAAGGAATTGCTTCTGTGCCAGGCAGCATGTCCAGGGCTTTATAAAGGTTATTCTCCCCCCACCATGTAAATATCTTTACTGGTTTTAATTATCAAACTAATTCATGCTTGTTATAAAATGATTCCAACAGAAGGAGAACGTCTTCCCCAGCCCCTGTCTCCCACAGTGTGCACATACATGCACACACACACACGGATACATATACTTCATGTGACTCCCCTGAAAGATAGTTCCTGTTGACAGACTGGCACATGACCTTCTAGGATTGTCTCATTGTGTCTTTGTCTTTTGCACTCTCTGAGCCTCAACTTCTGTCTCTGTAAAATGGGACTGTGATTTCTCCTTCACACGTAGTTATAGGAATTAGAGATCTAGGGCTTATAAACAATTATATGCAAAACTCTCGAGTATTGTTGGCGGGAGCTGAGTGGCGTGGAGAGCCCTCCCACCACTACCCTCACACCATGCCTCTCCCAGGGGAGAGCGTTCCAGTACTGAAGTCAGCCCTGCCAGAAGGGCTGGTGCCCTATTGCCCAGAGACCCACCGGCGGCACACACTCTTCTGTGGGACCCTCATCTTGCAGGCCCGGCCCTACATGGGACCCCACGTCCTGGCAGTGGTGACACGAACAGGTAGGTGTCAGGGACACAGGGAAGGATGCTGGGCTCAGCACCTACAGGAGAGATGGCAGGCTTAGGCAGGAGCGTGGGTCCTGGACCCCACACCCAGCTCTGCTGCTGCCCTCACGTGGGACCTCAGGTAAATCCCATTACTCCTCCAGCCTCAGTTTCCCCATCTGTAACAGGAAAGGCTGTGCAAGCCCAGGTCAAGCATTTAAGCCAGAATGGTCAGGCATTGTGGCAAGCTGGAGAGTGTCTGTCCCCTTTAAGGGGAGCCTCAGTCACTTCATAGCAGGTTCTTGCCCCTGGGATCAGGACCCACTGTCACCAGCTCTTCTTGACTTTTTCAGAAGCCACATACCTGGATTTTAAGAGAAACCACCCAATTTCTAGATGCTGGCCACTAGTTCAATTTTTAAAAAAACCCTACATGGTGTGGAGGAGCCCTGATGGTACAGTGGTTAAAGCTCTCAGCTGCTAACCAAAAGGTCACAATTCGAACCCACCAAACACTCCACAGGAGAAAGATGTGGCAGTCTGCTTCCGTAAAGACTATCAGCCTTGGAAACCCTATGGGGGCAGTTCTACTCTGTCCTATTAGGGTCACTGTGAGTCAGAATCAACTTGACGGCTATGAATTTAAATTTTTGGACACAGTCTAGGCAAGGTCTGTGGGTCACCATTGGTGACCCCTGCACCGAGTGTTCGTTAATGCCAAGAGCATCATGTCTTATATCCCAGGGGTGCATATGGCCCAGGGTAGTGATTGGGGAGACCTCTCCTAACCCTTGGCTTCCCCTGTCTTAGTTTCCACATCTTCTTCCCAGGGTTCTGCACGGCTAAAGGGGGCCTGGTGAGCTCCATCTTGCATCCTCGACCCATCAACTTCAAATTCTACAAACACAGCATGAAGTTTGTGGCCGCCCTCTCTGTCCTGGGTGAGTGGCCCCTGCCCCTACTCTGCCAGTGGCCCCAAGCCCCTGTCCCAAATCTCACTCAGTCCCTTGCTTTGTCCTTCAAGCTCTCCTCGGCACCATCTACAGCATCTTCATCCTCCACCACAACCGGGTAAGTCTTGAGGGCCAGATGGCACTGCTGGCGAGGCCCAGGGCTCCCGGAGCCTGGCCCTTGGCATTCACAGTGCCTCCTGCCAGGTGCCGCTGAATGAGATTGTGATCCGGGCTCTGGACCTGGTGACAGTGGTGGTGCCGCCCGCCCTGCCAGCCGCCATGACCGTGTGCACACTGTATGCTCAGAGCCGCCTGCGGAAGCAGGGCATCTTCTGCATCCACCCGCTGCGCATCAACCTGGGGGGCAAGCTGCGGCTGGTGTGTTTTGACAAGGTGGGAGCTGCAAGGGGGGCTGGTGTGGGCAAGGATGGGGCAGCCTTAGGACCCTCAGGCTCCTTGGCCGGGCCTCCATGCCTGCGTTATTCACTCAGCAGGGCTGACGGAGGGCCTGCCAGGTGCCACGTCCTGTCCCAGGGAACCCCACCCAGCTCCCAGTGCAAGCCAATGAAATGTCCGAAATCATGTATTCATTTGTTCAAAAAACACTGAGAGCCTGCTGTGTGCCCATGCTGCTCTCATCTTGGGGGCCCAGTGGTGAACAAGACAAAGTGTTTCATGGACATTCCTGTCTGGTGTCTCTACCTACCCAGAACAGGTGGCCTCAGATGGTGATGGGTTTTATAGAGGAAGTGAATGGAAATACATGAGATGGTCAATGGGAGAGGCTTTTCAAGCAGAGGCCATAGGGCTGTACAGAAGGGGCCACGTGGAGACACGCGGCAGGCAGGGCAGCAGCAAATGCAAAGGCACCGAGGTAGGAGACACCTTGGTGCCCTCAAGGAACAGACCGTGTGGCTGGAGCACCACGAGCAGTGGGACAGGTGAAACAACAGGCAGGCAGGGCTTTGCTGGTCTAAGGCCGGTAGCACCTAGCAAAGGGTCCTGAGGGCACTGGGGACACTCTCTCTCTCTCTCTCACTGCCGTTGAGTTGGATCCAACTCATAGCGACCCGTCTTTGGGTTTCTGAGGCAGTATCACTATGGAAGTAGATTGCCCAGTCTTCCTTCTGAGTAGGTTTTTAAACTGAAGAGTGGCTACCAGGCTAGCAAAGGAGCTACAGATAAAACTGGGCAGTTGGGATACACTGTGGGAAATTTCATTCATTCCTTCATTCTCCTCATTCATTCATAAAATACTTTGAGCACTGGCCATGAGACAAGTCCTCCTCCAGGTTCTGCAAATACTGCAGTGAGTAAATGGTGGGAAGTAAAGAAGCCACAGGTGGGAGTGCAGGGGAAGGATGCGCTGACCCAGTCCTGGGAGTTAAGGAGACTGAAGAAGTGAAGTCAGACAGAAAAACAGTGGGAGGTTGGGGAGGGTGACCCCAGCATCGGAAAGGCATGTGCAAAGGCCCAGAGGCCAGGAAGAACCTATTCTGGCTCAACTCTAGCTCCTGGGGTCTCTGTGGGGCCAACTTGGCCTGGGGCGTGGGCACACATCTGGGCAGGGCAGAGCTCATCTCAGGGTTCACCACTGGCCTGCTCACCTCCCCCTGCAGACAGGTACCCTCACTGAGGACGGCTTGGATGTGATGGGCGTGGTACCCTTGAAGGGGCAAGCATTCCTGCCGTTGGTCCCAGAGCCCCACCATCTGCCCATGGGGCCCCTGCTCCGAGCATTGGCCAGCTGCCACACCCTCAGCTTGCTCCACGGCACTCCAGTGGGCGACCCCATGGACCTCAAGATGGTGGAATCTACTGGCTGGGTAAGGAGGTCAAGCAGGTCACCCCCCTACTCTGGACAACTGGGCCCTAACCAGCTCAACCTTGCCTTCATTCAGCGTCTTCCCAGGGTGGTCTGTCTTATGCCCAGCATTGATAATAATGCCAAGGCCATGTGCTAAGTACCTACTATGTGCCATGGACTCCTCCCTGTAGCCCCAGGAAGAAGCATAAAACCTAGTTTCAAGAGAGGAAATAAGGCTGAGAAAGATTTGGAATCACGTGTTTAAATGGCATTTGTGTAAATGGCAAAGCCAGAGTTTGACCTTGGGTTTGCCCAATTCCAGAGCCCAAGTTCTCAACTTCTATACTACCCAGTCTTATAGGAAGGAAGGCTTCCATGAGTCTAACTCAAATCTCTCCTGCTACCTCTCTCCATGGGCCAAGGATTGGCCGCCTCAGGCCAAGCCAGTGCCTAGCCCCTAGAGGCCAACCTTCTCTGTCTGCCTCCCAGGTCCTGGAGGAGGCACCGGCAGCAGACTCGGCACTCGGGACCCAGGTCTTGGCAGTAATGAGACCCCCGCTCAGGGAGCCCCAGCTGCAGGGAGTGGTGAGCCAAGGGGGTGCCTGTGGATGTGGGGTCATGGGGGTGTCTCCCCAGGCAGCCCCTCAGTGGTCTTTCCACCCTGCAGGAGGAGCCCCTGGTACCCGTCAGCGTCCTCTGCCGCTTCCCCTTCTCTTCCGCCCTGCAGCGCATGGACGTGGTGGTGGCATGGCCAGGAGCCACACAGCCCGAGGCCTACGTCAAGGGCTCCCCAGAGCTGGTGGCAGGCCTCTGCAGACCTGAGACAGGTGACTGGGACAGCCCACAAAGTTCACTGTTCACATGCTGGCATAGAATGGGGTGAGTCCCCAACCTCAGCCCTCACCATGATAACACCTGCCTCTCCCTGGCAGTGCCCACCGATTTCCCCCAGATGCTACAGAGCTACACAGCCGCTGGCTACCGTGTTGTGGCCCTCGCCAGCAAGCCACTGCCCATTGCAGCCAACATGGATGCAGCTCAGCAACTGACGAGGTGGGCCCCACCTTTTGCCCCCCCCCCCTTGGAGGACTTCAGGCCCAGGCAGCGTCAGAGCTCAGGGAAGACACCCCTACCCAGTGGCTGGGGGAGACTCTGATCTGGGTCTGCCCATCCCCCAGGGATACCATAGAGCAGGAGCTGAGCCTCCTGGGGCTGCTGGTCATGAAGAACCTGCTGAAGCCACAGACGACCCCGGTTATCCAGGCTCTGCGGAGGACCCGCATCCGTACCGTCATGGTCACAGGTACCCAGGGCAGAGGCAAGGGGCAACCAGTGTCCCTTCCTAGGGCATCTTTTTGAGCCCCTGCATGAAGCCAGTTCCTTTCAAACCCTTTATAGCGTCTTTATAGTATCCCTCTCCAGTGGCAGTCTTCACCGCTGTTGAACAGATAGGCAAGTGAGGCTCAGAGGAGAGCAGCTGAGTGACCAGCTGAGGAGTCTACTCCTAGGAACCCAGCTGTAGTTTCACGTAGCCTTGGTTCCAGCCTGGCTACTCCCTAGCTGTGTGACCTTCAAGTCCCAGTGTTTACCTCTGAGAAATAATGAGATGATGCCAACTGCAAAGGTTGGGACAATTCCACAGAGCAAGAAAAGACCATCCTAGCTGGAATGGCATGGCAGTAGTTGAGTAGGTCTGTGTCCTTCTTTCTCCACCTGCCCTTACACACACTCACACACATACACATACACTCATATACACACACACACAGTCTTTTTCCAGCAGAGTTACACAGCAGTAACTAGTCTGTGTGGAACTTGAACCCAGGTCCCCAGTTTCTTCTAAGGCCCTTCAACACCTCCTTTTATCGACGAGAAAACCAAGGATCAAAGAGAGATGTTGGTAATTTGCCTAGCTAGTGAGAGGCAGACTGGAATTCCATCTGGCCTATCATCCCATCTGTGTCAGGATGAGGATGACCACCTAGATAACAGCTAACTCTGACCTTGTCCTATACTCCCCAGGAGACAACCTGCAGACTGCTGTCACTGTAGCCCGGGGCTGTGGCATGGTGTGTCCCCAGGAGCGTCTGGTCATCATCCACGCCACGCCCCCTGAGCGAGGCCAGCCTGCCTCCCTTGATTTCCTGCCAGTGGAGTGCTCTGCAGCCATGAATGGGCCTAAGGTGAGGTTGAGCCAGAGTTCCAGTCCCCACCCCCGTGTCACCTGGCCCAAGTCCCAGCCCTTCAGGGGGAGCTAAACTGAGTTTCCTGGGCCCCCAGGACCCTGGGCAAGCTGAGAGCTACACCATGGAGCCGGATGCCCACTCCAATCACCTGGCCCTCAGCGGGTCCACCTTCAGCATCCTGATGAAGCACTTCCCCAAGCTGCTACCCAAGGTAGGGGCTGTCCCCTGCCCCTCTCTGCCACCGTTGCCTCTGGGCATGCTCCCCAGTAGCTGCCTTAGCCCTTCCCCTCCCCTGTGCCCAGGTCTTGGTCCAAGGCACCGTCTTCGCCCGTATGGCCCCCGAGCAGAAGACTGAGTTGGTGTGTGAGCTACAGAAGCTTCAGTGAGTGTTCAGCAGTGGGATAGATGGGGCCCCCTGTGGGTGAGCTCGCCCGCAAATCCAGTCTCCCTGCCCAGGCCTTGGAAGGCTGTCACCATCAGGAAGACACAGGTGGCACTCCTAAGTCTGTCTTGCTGAAAATAATCCTGGCATCTGTTTACTGACCACCTACCGTGTGCCAGACACCATGTGGGCATGAGGCCAAACCAAAACAACCTGTTGACATTGGGTCGATTCTGACTCATAGTGACCCTTTTTGTGAAAGAGCAGAACTGCTCCACAGTGTTTTCTCAGCTGTCATCTTTAGGGAAGGAGATTACCAGGCCTTTCTTCTGTGGTGCCTCTGGGTGGGTTTGAGCCACCACCTTTTAATTTTAGTTGTTTATTGTCGTGGAGTTGATTCTGACTCATGGTGACCCCAGTTGTGCAGAGAGATGTGCCCCACAGGGTTTTCAAGACTGTGACCATAGGAGCACAGCCATTTGCACCACCCCAGACCTTTTATGTGCACGTGAGGGGTCCAGAAACCACCTTATTCTGTCAACCAGCCTGTCAGGGGGATCACCTCACAGATGAGCCCGGTTCAAGGGTGTTCAGGGCCGGCCAAAGGTGTCACAGGCCCAGAGCCAGGGCGGGACCTGGGCCTCACCTGCCTGTTTCTCTGCCAGGTACTGCGTGGGCATGTGTGGGGATGGTGCCAATGACTGCGGGGCGCTAAAAGCAGCTGATGTGGGCATCTCACTGTCCCAGGCTGAGGCCTCCGTCGTCTCGCCCTTCACCTCAAGCATGGCCAGCATTGAGTGTGTGCCCATGGTCATCAGGTGAGGTGGGCACAGGCTGGCAGGCATGAGCTCTGTGAGCATCAGCCAACCTGGTCCCCTAACCTCCACACCCCACCACCCCAGGGAAGGCCGGTGTTCCCTGGACACGTCGTTCAGCGTCTTCAAGTACATGGCCCTGTATAGCCTGACCCAGTTCATCTCTGTCCTGATCCTCTACACGGTGAGTGTTGTCCCCTTGTCTGGCCCCAGGGAGAGGATACACAGCAGTGTGGTTAAGAGTCCCAGCAGGATGTGGGTTCAAATCCTTCGTCTGCCACTTTCTAGCTACATGGCTGGGCAGTTGCTGAAATTTGGTTGGTGAGGTTTGTACATGGTGATGAAAGCACTGAGCAGAGCCTGACACACAGTCTAAAAAACCAAACCCACTGCCATCAAGTCGATTCCAACTCACAGTGACCCTATAGGACACAGTAGAACTGCCTCATAGAGTTTGTAAGATTATAATCTTTATGGGAGCAGACTGCCACCGTCTTTCTCCTGAGGAGCAGCTAGTGGGTTCAAACCACCAGCCTTTAGGTTAGCAGCTGAGTACTTAACCACTGCACCACCATGGCTCCTTTTGGCAACACACTAGGTCCTCAGAAGTGGGAGCTGCTCTCATGTGCTAATGTTTTGCCCTTGTCCTTGGAAGATCCCTGTCTGCAGGGGAGACTGAGGCAAAGCCCAGGCAAGGGATGAAGAAGGTACAGGTGGAAGAGGGCAGGGCCCTTGGCCTCTACCTGCACCGTTCTTCCCACCGATCCACCCATTTGCCCAGCCCCTGTCACTCTGCCCCAGAGCTTAGCCAGCTCCCACTTCTGCTCAGAGGGCCCCACCTCCTGCCCTGCTCTGATTCTGCCCTGTCGCCCCACTGAACGCTGAACGCATGCAGCTCTTGTCCTTGTTTCTGAACCCGGTCTACCTGAAATCCAGGGCAGGAACTGTGCAGCCCTGTAATCTAAGAGCTCCACAAGGCAAGGCCTGAGCCACACCTCCTTCAGGCTGGGACTTCCCTAAGGGAGGGAGAACCTTTCTCCCACAGTGGGCAGCAAGGCCTCCCCGTCTGCCTACACACACTGGGCTTGGGGAGGGAGTCTCCCTGAAGGCAGGGCGATCTCTGCATTAGATTTGGGGCTCACCCAAGATCAGGATCTGTACCTCCTCCATCAGGCTAGGGGTTCCCCAAGGGTAGGAGAGTGCTGCCCCGTGACACTGGAGGACAGGAGCACTGTCTCCCATCAGACCAGGGAGAGGAGCTCTGTGAAGGCAGAAGTTGTGCCTGCCTTAGCAGACTGGGACTCGCTGAGGGCTGGCCAGGGCCAGGACTCAGTTTCCCTTCTGCCTGCCCCTCCTCTGCCGGCAGATCAACACCAACCTGGGCGACGTGCAGTTCCTGGCCATCGACCTGGTCATCACCACCACGGTAGCTGTACTTATGAGCCGCACAGGGCCAGCTCTGGTGCTGGGACGGGCACGGCCACCAGGGGCGCTGCTCAGTGTGCCCGTGTTGGGCAGCCTGCTGCTGCAAGTGGCCCTGGTGGCTGGCGTGCAGCTCGGGGGCTACTTCCTGACTGTGGCCCAGCCCTGGTGAGTAGGGAACTGACCAGCCCCCTCTCTATCCCCCCGCCCCATCCTTCCCACTCATTCTCCCTTCTCTGGCCCCCATGCCCCCAGGTTCGTGCCTCTGAACAGGACGGTGCCTGCACCGGACAACTTGCCCAACTACGAGAATACAGTGGTCTTCTCTCTGTCCAGCTTCCAATACCTCATCCTGGCCGCAGCTGTGTCCAAGGGGGCACCCTTCCGCCAGCCACTCTACACCAATGGTGCTGCTGGTGGCGGGGGGGGAGGGGCAGTACAAAAAAAGGGGGCAAAGAGGGGTTGCATGGGGGCTGGTGCCTATGTGTGTGAAGGCCACTGGGGCAGATGGGAAGCAGGGGAGAGAGATGTGAAGTTGGCTTTGTGACTGGAGGGCATGTGTGTGTGTCCTGGAGGGTATGGCTCCTTGGCCTGATGGACTCCCCCACCCCCAGTGCCCTTCCTGGTGGCCCTGGCGCTCCTGGGCTCCGTCCTGGTGGGCCTCATCCTGGTCCCCGGCCTCCTGCAGGGGCCGCTGGCGCTGAGGAACATCACGGACACCTGCTTCAAGCTGTTACTGCTGGGCCTGGTGGCCTTCAACTTCGTGGGGGCCTTCATGCTGGAGGTGGGACCCGCCCAGAGGAGGGATGAGGGTGCGGGGGGCTCAACCACAGCTGCCTCCTCCATACCCTCCTGCTCTCTGCAGAGTGTGCTGGACCAGTGCCTCCCAGCCTGCCTGCGGCAGCTCCGGCCCAAACGGGCCTCCAAGAAGCGCTTCAAGCAGCTGGAGCGTGAGCTCACCGAGCAGCCCTGGCCACCGCTGCCCACTGCCCCCGTGAGGTAGTGTAGGCCTCGTCCAACACCCTGGACACTGGATCTCCCAGCCTGTGAACTGCCCACTGGACCCCTTTTCCCAGAGACACTACCACCACCACCTCCTACAGCCCTCTGAGGTTGGCGGTCACATTCCTGCCCCAAGTCCACTCAGCCTGGCCTTCCCTGTCCCCACCTGGGGAAGCACTGACTGTTTTTGTCCCCCAGTACAGACCATTCCATGTAGAGATAGCAGCCACCACCCCCCCTGAGCTGCTGGTAATGTAGCAAATAAAATCATAATATTTTCCTGGCACAGCCATGCATGTCTTGTCCCTGGGCACCTCTGAGCTTCCCATCTGCCCAGGAGGAAGTATGGACCCCTCTCAGGTGCCCAGCCCCTGGCATGTGTTTGCTCTGGCACCCCCTGATTTATGTTGTTGATTTGTGACTTAGGAGACCCAATGTGACAGAGTGGAACTGCTCCATAGGGTTTTCTTGGCTGTAATCTTTATAGAAGCTGATCACCAGGCCTTCTGTGGTGCTGCTACATGGGTTTGAAGCACCAAACCTTGTGGTTACCAGCCAAGCGCACACTGTGCCACCCGGGGACCTTAGCCTCTTATTTTTCAGATCACACAGGACAACTCTCCTCTCTGGGCCTCTGTTTCCTCATCTGACAGTTAATGTTTCCTCTGTGCTGAGCACATACCTGTGTTCAGCTAAGCACCTTGTGCACACTGTCATTTAATCCTTGCAGCAGGTTTGTGAGGTACTATCCCCACTTACAGATGAAGAATCTGAGGCTTTGAGGTCACACCAGTGGTCGGAAGCCCCAATCTCCTGACTCCAGCATCTACGTTCTTAACCCTCATGCAAGTGCCCACTAAGTACCAGCACCTAGTAGGCATTGAATTGGAGCAGTTCCCTTCCACTGTCCTTGCACCAGGGGGTGCACCCCATACTCTGGGACATGCTTGTGGTCCAGTTCCTGCCTTGGATGAAAATCCAGGCTCTGAGCCCACATCCCCAGCCAGAGCCACATGCACTGTCCCATGGGGAAGGGTGGGCTCTCTGACCTCATCCCACCCGTGGACACTGGCCAAGCCCTTTTCAGGAGATGCAACTTGGTTTTCTGGCTCATCTGCTGGGCAGGGGAGAACAGGAAAGAAAGACTGTTTCCTGCCCTCCAAAGGCGCCCTCCAGTCTCATTCCTGGAACCCCTGGCACCAGCCCCAGGCCTGCCGTAGTGGGAGCTCAGTGACTATTCATTGACTCAAACTGGGGAGAAGAGGTGTGGGGTGTGGAAAGTAATTTGTAACATAATGCACATTCTATGACCTGCCCTGGGCCCTGAGTCTCCAGCCAGCAACAGTTCAGGGCTATAGATACCATTAAAGGGGAGGCTGGAGGGGGCAGGGGGAGGCCTGGGTTCGAATCTTTCCTCTGCCTTTAACTGATTAGTGCTGAACTTATTGGGCACTCATGTACTAGGCACAGAGCTATAGCAGAAAAAGGTACTCTGCCTGTGAGCAGCTTATCACCCAGCATGAGAGGCTAGCAAGGAACAAGCAAATCTCTAAGGATGGATTAAGAGCAGAGCTTGGAAAGGAGGCAGGTGAAGAGCTACCAGGTACAGGAACTTGCCTGGGTGGGGTGGGGTAGGGATCTCTGCAGAGGCAAACAAGCCAGAAGGCTCCTAGTAGAGAGACTGGTGAGTGCGAAGGCCCCAAGGCTGGAACCAAAAGGGCCGGAGTGCAGTAGGCTAGGCAGAAAGTGCTGGCAAGGTTTTCTTGGAAAGTAGGCAGGTGCTAGCTTCACCCAAGTGGATCTGCTGTTTGAATTCACCTCGTAAAGTTGTGTGTAAAAGTGCATCCAGTTGGTGCACAGTAAATGGTAGGGATCGTGCCTTGAAAGGGAAACTTGTGAGATGTTACGGGCTTATGGGAGGAGCATGCTCAGCACCCTCTGTATAGGGTAGGAAGTAGAGAGGAGGGCTTCTTAGAGGAAGTGGGCCTTGAAAATTAGGTTCAGGTAGGTGGAAAAGAGAGGCAGGGTGGGAGTCAATGCTAGGAAGCACGACCACACCCAAGACAGTGGCCAAACCAAAAAAGTTGTCATCAAGTCAATTCCAACTCATGGCAGCCCCTGTGTTTCAGAGCAGAACTGCGCTCCGAAAACTTTTCAGTGGCTGTGACTTCCAGAAGATCGCCAGACCTTTCTTCCTAGGTGCTTCTGGGTGGGTTCAAACTGCAGACCTTCTGTTAGTAGCTACACACTAAACTGTCACATCCAGGGACTCTAGATAGTAGCCAAGGAGGCCTTGTTTTCAAGCCCTAAATTTGGACCCAAATTTAAACGTTCCATCCTGTTGAGTGCTACATTGAATAAAAGGCCCTTATTGAAATGGGTAAATTTAGGTGCCAACCTGGAGGGGTATGGCTATGGAAAGCAGCCAAGGCAGGGACTGGCAGGGCTGGGAACAGGGGGTGGCTGGAGGGCAGGGCTGGGCTGCTGGAGAACACAGCCAGGCTGGGGTTTGGCCTTTCCCTCTAACTCCTGCACCCCAGGTAAGAGGTGAAGCCCACTCCATCCCTAGGTGGGAGCAGGAGCCTGAATCCCGCTGAGCCCCTAGTGGGCTTGAAACATTTTAGTGATGAAAAGATAGTTCCCACTTGGGAGAACCTCACTTCAGCTTGTGGCAGCCCTGGGAGGTAGATACTGTTTTGAATCCTTGTCTTAGTTTCCTACATCACTCACTGCCATCGAGTTGACTGCGACTCATAGTGACTCCCAGTGGGTTTCCAAGGCTGTAAACCTTTATAGAAGTAGATTGCCTCATCGCTGTCCCACAGAGCAGCTGCTGGATTTGAACCTCCAACCTTCTGGTTAGCAGTCAAATGCATTACACACTGTGCCACTAGAGCTCCTTAGTTTCCTAGTGTTGCTTTAACACAAATACCATAAGTGGGTACCTTTAAAGAAGAGAAATTGATCTTTTCATAGTTCAGGAGGCCTGTTGTTAGGTGCCGTGGAGTCAGTACAATAGAATGAAACCCTGCCTGGTCCAGCACCGTCCTCACAATCTGCTATGCTTCAGCCCACTGTTGCAGCCACTGTGTCTACCTCATTGATGGTCTTCCACTTTTTCACTGACCCTCCACTTTACCAAGCATGATATCCTTCTCTAGAGAGTGGTCCCTTCTGACAACATGACCAAAGTAGGTGAGACGAAGTGTGACCATCTTGCTTCCAAGGAGCATTCCAGCTGCACTTCTTCCAGGACAGATTTGTTAGTTCTTCTGGCAGTCCAGGGTATGTTCAGTATTCTTTGCCAACACCATAATTCAAAGGCATCGACTCTTCTTCAGTCTTCCTTATTCACTACCCAGCTTTCACATGTATATGAGGTGACTGAAAATGCCATGGCTTGAACAAGGTGCAAAGTTACGATTACTTCCTGGCCACAGCCAACCACCCTGAGGGAGCACTGAGTAGTTGGACCTGTGGGCTCAGGACCATGGTCACAGGGGACACCAAGCCCAACTGGAATAACTTACTACACAAAAATACTTCTACAAACTACTTTGGTGAGTAGCAACCGGGATCTTAAAAGCGTGCAAGTGGCTGTCTAGAAGCAACAATGGATTTCTCCTCATCCGGAGCAAAGAATGAAGAAAAACAAAGACGCATGGAAACATTTAGTCCAAGGGATTAGTGGACCTTGCGAGCCTCAGCGTATATGACCATGAAACCAGAAGAACTAGATGGTGTCCGGCTACCACTGTGAACCACTCAGAAAGGGTAAGTGCAAGAGATCTTGGATAGAGTGGGAGAACAATGTGGAACAAAACTCAAAATCATAAAAAAAAAAAAAAACCAAAAACAGGTTTACTGGTCTGACAGAGTCTGGTGAGACCCCCAAGACTATGGCCCCTAGTTACCTTTCAGGTCTGGTATTGAACTCACTCCTGTGGCTTCTAGCCAAAAAACAGGCATATGAAGTTGACATTTACATCAGGTAGACAAACTCCCTAGAATGATCAATCATGGGAGAACAGAAGGGCAGTGTTTGCACAGGGAGGTAGCTCAGGGGGCAGGAATACATAGGAAAGAAGGATACAGGGAAGAGGTAACTATAAGGAGGAACTGGAAAGAGAGTTGTTACATTGTGGGGAATTGCAGTCAATGTCATGACACAAAATGTGTTTGAACTGCTGTATAGAAAATGAATTTGCTCTGTAAACTTTCACCCAAGTCACAACAAAAATTAAAAAAAAACACAAAAACCATGGCTTGGGTTAGGCACACCTTAGTCCTCAAAGTCACATCTCTGATCTTCAACACTTTAAAGAGTTCTTTTGCAGCAGATTTTCCCAGTGCAATATGACATCTAATTTCCTGACTGCTGCTTCCATGGGTGTTGGTTGTAGATACAAGTAATATGAAATCTTTGACAACTCCAAACTTTTCTCCATTTATCATGATGCGGCTTATTGGTCCAGCTGTGAGGATTTTTGTTTATGTTGAGGTATAATCCATACTGCAGACTTCAGTCTTTAATCTTCATCAGTATGTGCTTCGAGTCATCTTCACTTTCCATTTTATATGTGGGGAAACCCAGGCTCAGTGTGCTGCGACCATCAAATATGCAGGCAAGCACACTGGCTCCAGGGCAGAAGAGGAGTTTCCAGACACTGCTGGGTGGAGGTTATAGCTGGAATAGAGGAGACTGGGCCATTGGGCCCTGCTCCCTGCTCCCCACTTTCCTTCCAGAGAGGCAGTATCTTCACACCCAACCTCCATGCTGCCAGAGAAGGTGCCAGGTGCCTTTGTCCAGCCAGGGGCAGAGTGTGAGCTCTGGAGTCAGGCAGATCTGAGTTCAAAGTGCAACTCCATTGCTTACCCTATCTCTATGCCTCAGTTTCTCATTTGCAAAAAAGGGATTGTTACAGACTGAATTGTGTCCCCTGATAAAATTGTTTTGATTCTCCTAGAATCCAGATTTTTGGGTTCATGGAATTGAGGTGACCCACCCAGGCCATCCATACTTAGGTGTTATTTTGAACCTTGAAAGAACTGGTTCTGTGGCATCACTGTCAGGTCAGAGTGGAGATGGTTTGGCATTAGGCATTGGGTTCCTTCGGAAATTTCTCTTGAGTGCAGGGAGCTGCAAGGTCTGACTAGAGGCTGTGTTAGGATGTAAAGCATGTCTTTGGTGACTGTTTCTAGACTCTGTCCTGTCTTTGGTTAGTTTCTTAAGAAACTAACATAACCATGAGGAGTATTGCCTAATGTGTTCACAGGATGCTGCCT